CCGTGCCATTTACATCGCTGTCGGTGCTGTCGGTGCTGTCGGTGCTGTCGGGAGCGGTCCTCTCATCCTTGTTGAGAATTAAAGCTTTATGTTTCTTTAACAACTGGCACTATTCTGGGAATACCATCCTGGCAAGAGTTCCAAAATAGAACCCATGCTCTGATAATGCCTCTAGTTTCAAAGACCAATAAACATAACCATTATGATCTTATTGGTGTTGCAAAGGATAGTTGAATATTGTTTATTGAAATTAATAATCCCCATAACCGTTTTCCAATATAGATAAATTGTAGTACGTAACAAACTGTATATATAACTCAGTCTCAACAATGAAATAAAGGAATGTATATATTTACATTATTTATACTTATTTATTACCGGTATACTTTTATTGCTACTGTACTGATAGGAATACTGTATTTGTAAAGATGCAATAATAATAATAATTATTATTATTATTATTATTATTATTATCATTATTACTAATGCATTGCAATACAACTAATTCAAATTGAAAGGAATTGCAATATAAAGTATTCATCAGCAATACTTCTCAAAGGCGTATTTCGCGGTCAGTGTTATTCACAAAAATATTTGTTTATAATTTTATAAACTTGCTTGGCAATACCCACCCCAATCAGATATAATGTGTACATATTTTAATAAATAAAGATATACTAACAAAAATGAAATATTGATCATTTCATATTTTATTAAATAACCTGCACAACAGTAATCAATATTTTTCCTTGCTAGAATGATGTGTAACTTTATACGGGAATCCTGATAAAGTTCACAACTGGCGATTTAGCAGTATTAGGGATTGTCAACTTCTAGTGAATTTGATTACCTAACATGTTTAGGTTCATGCGCTGCAAGTTGCAGAGCACATACCTAAGCGGCCCCCAGCAAATAATTAAGCCAAGGCGGTCTCGATATCGAAATCAAGGAACTCTCTGATTTGACACAATCTGGGAAGTTCGAATTACTAAATGAAGTACAGGACGACGAAGCTGAAATATCCAAGAACCAACACATACCAAAAATCTCAAAAGTGAATATTCGGGGTGTATTTTAATTCTAATCAAATCGGAAGTGGGAATTTGTTAGTACTCTAAGTAACATATTGGCGATCCGCACCGCTAGGATTACCTTTAAAATCACTTTTTGATGAACCGCTCTGCTAGGATTGCCCTTATAATCACTTTTTCTAATTACCGTGAAATTTGAGCCAAAGTTGGGGTAACTGTTCACCAGGAATGGCTTTTTAACTCTTCTGTGAATTTTTTGGCTGAGCCGATTTGGTTCAAATTTGGCAGGCAAATCACACCTTCACTGTAGTTAGGTTGTAAAATCTTAACACAAATTCTGGCCCACCGTTTCTATGGTAACAGCCAAAAAACTGATTTGTTTTTAATTAATATATTCATGCCAAATGTATCTCACCCTACATTTCTACGATTAAAAAGCACGGACGTAGCTCATTATACTCAGCTTGGTTGTAGGCAAAAATATGCTGTTTGTTTTTCTTATGTCTATTTTCATTACCGAGAAAATTTACCTCAACGTGGAGGTAACTTTTCATCAGCCGTGTTCAAATGATCATGCTTTTTATTTTGTCTATGTTGCACACTGGTAAGAAATCACCGGCGCATACATTGTTACACTGTATCAATGCAATCCCAACGCAACTTTGAACTTAGAGTGAACTGTAAATGCTGCCTTCAATCTAGAAAATACTATCGCAAAACGGTTGGAAATAATAAATTTAACAGCAGAATACGTCCTAGCAATAAAATATAGTGACTTCTAAAGACTGGGTGTTTTTATGACAAACTTTGTATATGGTGCCCAGTGTCAACCGTGGCAACAGCCGAAAACACGTTGCTTGTTTTTTGAGCGGAGCCGATCGCCAACCAGCCTACCAGCTTGTTTTAGTATAAGCTAGTAACAACTTGTGTAACAATAATTATGTGATGATTTGTAGGCATAAGAACTTTTCAGGGCCTAACTGATTCAGACTCATATTGTCTGACTGTTATATACAGCCCAGAACACGTCAGAATAGTAAAAAAAAGTCAGGTAATGTCAGTTGCCCGTACCATGAGAGCCGGCCACAGAACCAAAACCTAACATACCTAAGCGGCCCCCAGCAAATAATTAAGCCAAGGCGGTCTCGATATCGAAATCAAGGAACTCTCTGATTTGACACAATCTGGGAAGTTCGAATTACTGTAAAGGGGGTAATTATTCACTGGGTTTTAATTTAGCTTATTTCGCTGACTGGAAAAATGCGCTAAATTAAAACCCAGTGAATATGTAAAATTTAGCATAGAACACATTATCTAAATGACGAAACCGTGAATTTAAAACCCACTGAATATGCCCGAAATGGTAAATCAGTGAAATTTAAACCCAGTGAAAATTAGTCATTTTACAGTACTAAATGAAGTACAGGACGACGAAGCTGAAATATCCATGAACCAACACATACCAAAAATCTCAAAAGTGAATATTCGGGGTGTATTTTAATTCTAATCAAATCGGAAGTGGGAATTTGTTAGTACTCTAAGTAACATATTGGCGATCCGCACCGCTAGGATTACCTTTAAAATCACTTTTTGATGAACCGCTCTGCTAGGATTGCCTTTATAATCACTTTTTCTAATTACCGTGAAATTTGAGCCAAAGTTGGGGTAACTGTTCACCAGGAATGGCTTTTTAACTCTTCTGTGAATTTTTTGGCTGAGCCGATTTGGTTCAAATTTGGCAGGCAAATCACACCTTCACTGTAGTTAGGTTGTAAAATCTTAACACAAATTCTGGCCCACCGTTTCTATGGCAACAGCCAAAAAACTGATTTGTTTTTAATTAATATATTCATGCCAAATGTATCTCACCCTACATTTCTACGATTAAAAAGCACGGACGTAGCTCATTATACTCAGCTTGGTTGTAGGCAAAAATATGCTGTTTGTTTTTCTTATGTCTATTTTCATTACCGAGAAAATTTACCTCAACGTGGAGGTAACTTTTCATCAGCAGTGTTCAAATGATCATGCTTTTTATTTTGTCTATGTTGCACACTGGTAAGAGATCACCAGCGCATACATTGTTACACTGTATCAATGCAATCCCAACGCAACTTTGAACTTAGAGTGAACTGTAAATGCTGCCTTCAATCTAGAAAATACTATCACAAAACGGTTGGAAATAATAAATTTAACAGCAGAATACGTCCTAGCAATAAAATATAGTGACTTCTAAACACTGGGTGTTTTTTTGACAAACTTTGTATATGGTGTCAACCGTGGCAACAGCCGAAAACATGTTGCTTGTTTTTTGAGCGGAG